TTCCAAAACTGCGACTTTCTCATTTTTAATGAGTTGGAAATGAATGTTTTACTCTACTCTTTGGTGCCAATTGAACAGAAAAGGCAAGATGTGTCAGGTTTTAGCCAATCACTTCATATTGCAGTCTTAACACTCTTCCAAAACCTAAGGGGCTGCCACAAAGAAAGAGGAGGAGATCAACCAATTCTCCAGAAGCACCAGAAGGCAGGACAAGAAGCAACGGTTGGAAACTAATCAAGGAGAGAAGCAACCTGGAATTAAGGAGAAACTTCATAAAAGAGAGGACAATTAACCAGCGGAACAGCTTTGCCTTCAGAAGTTGTAGGTGCTCCATCACTGGAGGCTTTCAAGAAGAGATTGGAGAGCCATTTGTCCTGAATGATATAGGGTCTCCTGCTTGAGCAGGGGGTTGGACTAGAAGACCTTCAGGGTCCCTTTCATCTCTGTTACTCTGTTTGGATACAATGTGTTTTTAGGTTGCTCCTTTTTTTTTGTCGAGATGTCTTCTTTGAGCTCCATGCTACATCAGCTCCCACCTCAAACCTTCATCCTTGGAAATAAATCTGTAAAATGGCAAAATGAACCTGAAGTTTGGCTTTGATCCAGCGGTTCAGGGATTCAACTTTTTTTAAGCACCAGTTCTGTAGGGGTGGCTTGTTGGGCGTCCTTAGCGCACATGCAGTTTCCTACTGACCTTCTCCTGCAATCCTGCACTCTCCCTTGTCTTCAACAGCTGACGCACGGCAATCCTCTATGCTGCACGCAAAGCAGCTGAGCTTCAAAACCAAGAAATAAAGATCAGAATAGAGCCAGAGAGGCAGGAGGGGCCAACAGCTGATTGTTGGAGCGAACCGATTTGCTCACAGATTATCCTCTGAGTTACTGGTTCTGTCGAAGCAGGCCAAACCAGTAGAGCACCATCAGTGCTCTGATCCAATTGGAATGTTCTCACATAGTCTACTTTCAGGTAAACTCAGGCTTAAGGCAAAAATAATTCTCTTCCATCCAAGGATGATCTACACTGAAAAGAATCGGGGTGAACAGACAGCATCTCCCGTTGTAGGAAATCATTGTAGTACAAGATCTAACCCAGCCTACAACAGACACCAGAAGGGACACCTGCGTGACCCCTCTGATCAATGATTAACCAGGAGAGAAGCTATTTTGAGAAAGATCGATAATCCCTTGAAAAGCGACACTTATTTCTCTCTGGAAAACTTAAGCAAACATCCAAGTGAAAATTAAGTTGGTGTTTTTTTTCCCTCTCCTTCGCTAAGCAAATCGAGATAAACCCTGCGAGAGATAGCAAACAGTTTTTATTTCAACTAAGGTCAGTCCTGAACTGATATCGTGTCAGATTACACGGTGCAATTGTTGAAGGCAAGGACCTAGTTTCATCTTTGTCTTTTTTCTTTTCTTTTTTTAGAACTCGCTTTCTGAAAATATACATTCTCATGTAGCAGAATACAGTGCATTGGAGGGCGGGAGGGAGCGGGGAATCAGCAGGGGTGGGATTCAGCCGCTTCTGGCCAGTTTGAGTGAACCGAATGTTAAATTTACATCTGGTTCACAGAACCGGGAGTTGAACCGACCGGCTGACCCTACACACCTCACCCCACCCCTCCCAGAAGTCTCCACATGGCCCCACTTTGGATGCAGGTGAGCGCAGGGTCTGCCTGAAGGCTCTGGGAGGGTGAAAAATGGCCCTTCTGAAAATTCTTGAAGACCAGAAAACGGCCTGTTTTCAGCTTCCGGGGGGCCTCTAGAACCCAGGGGAGGCTCTTGTCGCCCTTCCAGAGGCCCGAGGGAAGCCTCTGGGAAGGTGAAAAATGCCCTTCCTAGAAGTTCTGGTAAGCCACACCCAGCAACTGGGTAGAGAACCAGTTGTTGGGATTTTTGAATCCCACCCCTGAGAATCAGGATAATAAAATCAGTGTTTAAATAGAGGTTTTAAAATGAACGGTGCACATTAATCCTAGAGGCAATGATTCCTAAAAGCAGACTGTGAGGACCTGGGGCATGGTACAAAGGCAACACAGCCAGAGAACCGGTATGAGTCTCTTTATTGGCACCAACTTTGCCCCCAACGTCCCATTTACTCTCCGGCCTGTAGAAAAGCTCTCCCACAAACCTGCAACAGCCTCTGGCTGCAAATGTCGTAAGCAGAATGACTGCAAACAATCCCTCCAGCAGGGCAAGATAATGAGTCCCAGAAGGGAAGAATCATGGCAATAATTCCAGCAAGACAAGATAAACACACAGAAGCACAGCAACCATTCAAACAGTCAGGAGGAATGCCAGGAATGCAGGCCACAACGCTCAACATTAGATGAACTCAGCCTTCATTCCCGACAAACACCCCTCCCAACTGCCTCTCCTTTAAACTCCCTCCCCGGGTGCACCTTGTGAAGGGAATCAAGGCCCTTTCCTCCCTCGAACAACCCACGTTGCTCTCTTCTCTGTTCCTCTGTTCCTGTGTGCCCTAGGATGAAGAGGGGATGACCCAGGGTGGGATACAAAACAAACAGAGTCACGCTCGAATTGAAAAGTGAACTGGGGATATATATATATATATTTGTTTTATTTTCCCAGAACACCTACTGAAATATGCATCGCCTACTACTGGAAGCTGCCCCAATCAATTACTTAACTAAATGTGACCATTTCTTGATTAACCTGGAGGTGAAATCTTACAGTCCTGAGAAAATGTAATCTGTTTTCCATCTCCAGAAATGAACTCCTCTCAGTCCCCTTGGACAGGCGAGGAGAAATCTTTTCCAGGTTTGCATTCTCTCATGCTCGTGGTCACTTTTCATCAATTCGTTCTCTCTTTCTCTCTCTTTTCCTCTCTCTCTTCCCCCTCTCTTTCTCTCTCTTTTCCTCTCTCTCTTCCCCCTCTCT